CCGACCTGACAGAGGCCTGGAAGTGAGTGCACGAGGTGGTTATAAAAGGCTTCTACCCCCCAAGGATGAGGTATGCTAACTTTCGCGCTATCTGGTTATTCTTGCCTTTGAAGGATTCTAACTTGAGCTTCGGAGCCCTTACGCCGGGTTCTCCCCGGAGCTTCTCTTCTCCTCCCGTTTCAAGTCCCTGTTACTTATTTCGGAGGCAAGATCATCAACAGCTAAGACCGGCCAGATTGTGCATCATCAGAGTCAGGCTTTTTTGACACCAAAACCCAATCGAGCTTACTGTGTTAGGCCCGAGGTCAGGCCCGCGAGCCTAATTACATGACCAAGCCCGACCAGGATACAGGCCGGGTTGAGCCGGGCCATCGGGCTACCCGGCCCATGAACAGGTCTACTCCCCATCATAGACTGCGGCCCTGTTTGAATGAAAAAAAAAATGGTACTTATTTTTATAAGTACTTGAAAGAAGTATTAGGATCATATATTAAGTGGAAAAAAGCACTTATATCTATTTAATAAATAAATCAGATATAAGTGATTATTTAAAAAAAATACTTAACAAATAAGCATGTTGAAAATGGTTTTTTAAGCATTTATTCAAAAAATCTGAAACAGTCCAATCCCTTAAAAAAATCATAATGATCAAACTACCCTCACAGATGGAAAAAAACCCTTTTCTTCTCTATTCATTCAGTTCAAATAGGACAGCAGTGGCAAAATCATCAAACATTACCAACTACTACTCCTACACATACACATTACTCAACCCAGAAATCAACTAAAGGAAGCCGAGAACCTACTAATTAGTGCTACCAATGACTTATTATTTTTCTTTTGAATAACTTCGTTGGTGTTTGGTATATCTTTTTCAGCGCTGATTTTCAGTTTATGGGAAGTTAAAAAAGACCGAAAAAATCAAAGACAAAATTAGCAAGCTTCAAATGAAATGTCATATCATTTGAAGGTATTACTGAATCAACGTGAGTGAATGTATCATTTTACTGTTATGTAAAGATGATGATTACGGACTGACATATCTATTTTTGAATGTATGATTTCTCATGTTTAAATGTCTCATTCGAATGTTCCCCTTGTTAAATTTATATACTAGAAGTTAGAAAACAGTTTGGTGTTACCAAACACCCATTCCTTGCTTCTGCATCAAAAAGTAAAACTTATCCCATTCCTAAAGTGGCCTCCACCAAAAGTAGCGATTGGAAAAGCAAATCATTATCCACCAAACCCCAATTTACCCAATACCCACCCCCTCTCTTGTCTCTCCCTCTCACTCTCTCTCTCTGGTTGCAGACGGTAGTGACTTTGCGACGGGTTCCAGCCAAGCATAAGAAAAAGATGCTATCTCCGAACCCTTTTTGCGTTATTCTTCTTTGCCTACCTCTTGCATTCATCTTCACAGTTACCAGCCCCACCAGCAGCAGCAGCACCGATGATGCCGGCGCCACCACCACCAACGGCAATTATATTCGCAATATCCAGGTTTTAAGGAATATCATTCCATCCATAAACAACATTGAGCAAAGCAAGAATAGCAGAATCAAAAGCAAAATTGTCAGCAGACTGCAACTGCCGCCAACAGTTATTCCAGAAAACGACGAATCCCTGTTCCGCATCGCCAGCCGAGTAAACCGAAACCCATTACCCGCTGGAGCAACAAAGAAATTAGCGTTTATGTCCCGACTACTTCGGATCTCCCATTCGCTCCACTATGGGAGCGCTTCTTTCTTCCAAATCAAACCCAACAACAGAACAATAGAACGAAGCTCTTCAACATCTACATCTACGCCGATCCATCTTCTCACTACGACCAACCATTCTCTGGCGTCTTCTCCGGGCGCACCATCTCCTCCAAACTCACCCAACCGTTTACCCCATCTCTTGTCTCCGCGGCTCGTCGCCTCCTCGCTCTCGCCCTTCTGGACGACCCCTCCAACGCCATGTTCTCTCTCCTCTCCCCCTCCTGCATCCCCCTCCGTTCCTTTGGCTTCACATACAGAACCTTCATTGGATCCGATAAGAGCTTCATCGAGATCCTTAAAGACGAACCAGGCAGCTCCGACCGATACGCTGCGCATGGACCGGACGCGGTGCTCCCCGAAGTACCGTTCGAAAGTTTCCGTATAGGATCACAGTTCTTCATCTTGACACACCGGCAAGCCAGGCTTGTGGTTGACAGGCGTCTCTGGTCTAAGTTCAAGCTGCCATGCGTGCAGTGGAACACGTGTTACCCCGAGGAAAACTATTTCCCTACCTTACTCGGCATCCTGGACCCACGTGGGTGCGTGCCAGCAACTTTAACTCACGTGACGATGGCAACTCGACTGCAAACTTCTGAGGTTTCGCCGGAGCTGATCCTCTTGCTCAAACAAGATAGGCCCAGATACGGTGACGATGGCAACTCGACTGCCAATGGCTCCGACTCGTCCGTGTCGAAACGGCATGACCCTTTTCTTTTTGCCCGGAAATTCTTATTCTTATAATAATAATAATAACTATTGTTGTTAAACGTAAGGGGTTATACAGACGAGGGTAGCACGTCTCCACAAATCACTACAACAAATAAACACAAAAGGCCAAGGCAACTTACAAAAATTCAGGGCGACACAATTATCATTCGACAATTGGACTTTATGAGCATGGTGAGCCAGCCAATTCATAGCCTAATTTGCTTCTCGAAAAATATGTTTGTAGACCCCTTTTTGCACTTCTCCTTGAGCTCCCAACAGTCTTGAATGACACTCCTTAGATTTTACAGGCACGGCCTAGACTTGTTAGGACAAGATATCACTAGTTTGGAGTCACCCTCAATTATGAGAGGAAAATTTATGAAATTTAAGACCAAATTATGAGCTTCCCAAGTAGCTTAAGCTTTAACCCTATTAATGGAGGTAAAACCTAATTTATAAGCTTTAATATCCAAAACTGCACCCAAATGATTCCTAGCAAGAGCCGCAATTGTGCATATATCATCCTCCATCTAAGATGCATCAAAATTAATTTTAATCACACCAAAATTAGGGGGATCCCATCTTATAAAATTATAGTCTTTGGTTAAGCTTTCACCATTAGACTTATTTGAACACTCTTGAAATTCCATAAGCAAATCTAGGACATTATCAATGACCTTAAAATGAGGAGTCGAAAGATTCTTAAAAACCTTCAACTTTCTACTCTTTCACAGATGCCATAACAGGAAAACACATTCTTTTTTTTGCCATTCCTCGTTGAGCAACAAATTCTTTGTAAGGTCTAGCCACCAATCTTTTATGGACCTATCTTGATCATCAAGCCCTTGAATAATTAGAGGATAATTCCCTAACAATTCTTAACAACAGAGCATTTCCTATAAATATGATCCACATCCTCATCTTCACCACAAACATCACAACCACCATTAATGTTGAAACCCTTCCGTCTAAGAAGAGCCTTAGAGGGAAGTCGATTGTTCAACAAGAGGAACATAAACACTTGAATTTTAAGCGGGCACTTAAACTTCCAAATGTTTCTATTCCAATTAAACCTATTTATTGATTTTGAAATTCTATCACATTTCAATCTATAAGTAGAATTTGATGAAAATTTGCCATTAGCATTAAACCACCACACCAATTCATTCACTTCAGACTCTAATGGGATGAAAATAGTATTAATCTTCATCCAAATATCATAAGAAACAAGATTACATATTTTCTTTCTATTCCAAATTTTTCTATCTTGGTCGATCACATCACTCACTAAGAATCCTTCATTATCAATGTTTCCTTGAGGAACCAAATCAGCAATAGCTTTATCTCCAATCCAATTATCTCTCAAAAAATTTATTGATTTACCATTACCAATTGTCCAGCCCAAACCCTTCATAAGAATTTCTCTAACCCAGAGGATTCCTCTCTAAGCCCACGAGATACCTTTCTTAATTTTAATTATAATTATTGTTAAAATGAATAAAAATCAACCCATGTATTACACGTCCGGGCCTACATGGTTCAATTGTTTTGTTTCAAAACCCGTTTTCACCATCTTTTTCACCCACACGTTAAAACGGGTCCTACGACAACCGAGTTCATTTTTCTATTCATTCACTTTGCTTTTCGGGTCTTTTTTATTTTTTTGGATTCTTAACTTCTAATGAATCAGTTTGAGTGTCAGAAATAATTTCTTGTCGATTTTAACACACAAGAAACATTATATTTTGAAGAAATCGTACCTGATTTATTCTCGGTGCAACTTTAACGCCAGAACTGAGTTTGAACAAAATTTAACGCCAAAACGCACCTGAAGAAACAAACATGTAATGTTACTGCTAAACCGAAAACGAAGCTGAAAAAGAATATTAATCCAAACAAAATAAAAGAAAAGAAAAAACCTGGAAGTGAATTTGAATAAGGAGAAGAAAACCTCTGCCAAAGTATTCTCAAACCAACTCTGCAACAAAAAGATAATTTGTTTGAGAGTTGGAACTAGGAGAGAAAAAACAAAACTTGAAGAAAAGAGAGAGAAAGAGAAGAGGATCTCAGACATTTGGAACTATCTCTGCAACTAACTATCTGGAACCATCTCTTCATCTATCTCAGATATATACAGATATATAGATATATACATCTGTGTAAACAAAGAGATAAACGAAATGAAGAATTGGATCCTTTTGGATAACACCACAGTGACCGTTCTTGGGAATTCCAACAGTGGTCAGTGGCGCATCTATCTTTACTTCAGCAAAAGATATTTTCGTTGATTCCCTCCCTACCAGCTCTATTCAACTTGTCAATGGAAAAGAAAACTTGTTGATGGAGGTCTGCTCGTTTTTCTTTTTGAAAAGGAAATTGCAATGTATTCCCTGTTCATCAACCTTTCCGGTTCCCATGAAATCCAATCCAATATGAGTCCCTTGCACCTCTTCATTTACACCTGTATTCGTCGGATATTGGTAGAACCTGACCCAATCCTCACGGATGAAGCAGCTCCAATCCAATTCAATAAATACTTTGGACCTAAGTCTAGAGTGATTCAAGTCAATGTTTTATTGGTCTAACCAATGTGAATGATGGCAGCACTTTAATAGATACTCTATAATACTTTTGAATTGTAATTATATATTAATGCCCCGTTCGTTTTTTGGTGAGTCACTGTTTTATAAGAAAAATTTATTGGGTCAAGTGCATTTGCCTATGTTCTTTTATTTTTTATATAAATAAGGCAATGACTATAATTTTTGTCCCATCCAAATATTGGCAACTTTCCCCTATATGAGAAAGTTAATTTACCCACCTCTACCCACCTAGGAGATGGGTATCACTTACCCAGAAAATAAACTTTCTCGAGTAAGTGATACCCAGGAAAATAAACTTTCACTGGTCCCCACATAAATCTGAAAAATGAATAAGGGTTTCTTGGTCAATGGGAATTAAAATCTCATTGCCAACTTTCACCCATCTCAAAATCCAAAAAAAAGAACGTCCCCTAAATATATTTATACTAACGTATGGGTCCTTACAAAATGACCGGGAAGGTAATGATATTATAAGAGAAATAATAATGTCTTTTCTAAAAAAGTATTGATAAAGCAAACCATATAAAATAGTATGTCATTTGAAATTTTTCAAAAAGAGAATAAATTTTAAGGAGAATGACCGATCAGCCCAGGGTCAGAATTTGTAGGCTCAAAGTACTGTCGGGGTAGGTGCTAGCTCAGAATTGATACCGATTCACAGGCGGGCATTGATGCATAGAGTGTGGATTATTGACCTTTTGAATGTTTATAGCTCTGCAGTGGAAATCAGAAATCTGCATTGGGCAAATCCTTACTTCTCTGTAAATTTTATTTTATGCTTTATGAAGAGGAAGTGCAAAACTGCAACATAGATTTTTATATTAATTATGAATATAAATGTTATAAGATACATTGTGGGTGATCATTATTAGCCCAATCTGGAAACCTGGGCCCAGCCCAGTTGGCATATTTTCGAGGTTGAACCAGTTTTTTGTGCTTTGAACCAACCCAGTGTAGGCTTGCATTAAACCCTGTAATTTGTGGGTTGGACCTGGTCCAATGCTTCAAGTCCAATCTCGACCAATATTTTGTGTTTAGGTAAATAAACAAATATTTGGGGGAAAAGAACTTGAGGTTAAACCATCATCAAAATATCTTTTTAAAAGTCATTTAATTAATTGTGTATTCAAAGTGGTTGGTTACAAGAATGCAACCAATATTGTAAGAAATAATATCCCCTTTTCAATCGGGTTTTCTCAAAAAAAAGATAAATCACTGACAATATTGTGTTAGTAAAGGAAATCCTACATCAAATTAAATCAAAAAAAAAAAAGGAAAGGGTATATAGCCCTAAAATTGGACATTTGAAAAGCTTTTAACCATATGGGATGGAGATTCCTTATGAGGTACTAAAGCATGTGAATTTTCCCATCAAACGGTGCAATCTAATTCTTCAATGCATCACCACCTCAGCATTTTAGTAAAGATTGGAGGGAAGGTTGAGACAAGATGATCCCCTCTCCTCGTACCTCTTCATTATTGAGATGGAGGTTTTAACATGATTACTCTTACATACCTTTGCGAATCACTTGCTCCAAGGTATCAAGTTCACAAGGGAGAGAGCCCCCCAAATCACCCATCTACTATTTATAGATCACTGTATTCTCTTTTGCAAAGAAGAGCCATTCCAAATCAAAGATCTTAATAGAATATTACAAAACTTTGAGTCACTCTCAGGCCAAGAAATAAACACACATAAGTCCTCTATCGGCTTTAGTGCCAATGTTCGTCGGCATCACAGAAAGAGTATTAGCCAACTGCTGAAGGTAAAGCAACCTTTGTGGGGCACAAAATATATGGGGATTAGAATTTGCTTGAAGGAAAAAAAAAATGCGGAATCCCACAAAGAACTAAAGGACAAAATAATAAACAGACTCAAGGCGTGGAGTATAAGTCTTCTCTCACAAGCTGACCGCACCCACACTTTCAGTTGATCCCTTTGTACCAAATAACAGCAACAATCTTATCTAAAAGCATACTCCATTGCATAATAAAAATATGAGACTTCTGTGCAAATCTTTCCAAAAAAATGCTCAAGATATACAATCCCTTGGAAGAGATTTTGCTCACCTACACCATGTGGGAGGCCTAGGGCTCCGTAATAATGTGTTCATGAACAAGTAAACAAATTTGGAGATTACTGGTAGGAATGGAAATTTTTCCCATTCCGACAGGAATCCGATGGAGTAGGGGATGGGAATTGTTTTGGTGGGGCGAAGATGTGATAAGGATTAATAGAAATCCCTGATCGGGGTCAGGGTTGGGGATGGGGATTGAGGTCCTCGCCCCGCCCCAACCCCGATATATATATGTATGTGTGTTATTTATATTAAATAATATATTATATTATTTTTATATATCAAAACATATTTAAAATATTATTTATAATTAAATTTTTTTATTTATTTTAAATAAATTTATTTTTCAAAAAAATACTGTTATTTAAAAAAATTCAAGGATTCAGGTCCCCGCAAAGAATCCATCCCCATTAGGGATCGGGGATGGAGGACAAATTTTATCTTCAACGAGAATTGGGGTTAATTTCAGAATCAGGGTTGGAGACGGAGAATATGATCCCCGCCCCAAACCTGCCCCACTGCCATTCTTAATCACTAGCCTTCCCCAATAGCATATGGAGCTCTCAAATGAAGTCAAAATACTACCCAAAGACTAGCCCACTTGCTCCCGAGAAAAATGGAAAAATATCTTCATGGTAGAGACAAGCCAAAACACTTTTACATGAAATGAAACCAAGTATTATATGGCTCTTAAAAGATAGTACAAACATCTCAGTTTTTTGGGGACCCATGGATCCCAACATTAAGTGGAGGAATTCCAGTCCCCAATCCCAACCAACACAGATACTTGATATCAAAGTCAGTGAATTGCTGGAGCCAAATAGTTCAGGGGACATGGACAAATTGCAACAATTTTTGGACCCGAATTCAATACCTCATGCTCTTGAGCTCAGTCCAAACACAGAATTAGTTGCTGACACTCCAATTTGGAAAGAAAAGCTTCAGGTGAGCATACAGTCAGTTCAACATACCAATGGTTTTGCTTCATTACAAATTGATGGATCTTGCAATTCAGGATGCGCTTTCATCCTCCAAGGAGTGCAAGGCAGCCAAACTATTCGTGAAGGAAAGCCCAACAGAGCCATCAACCCATATGATGCAGAACTAAAGGCACTAATAGCTGGTTTGGAAGAAGCTTCAAGCCTTCAACACAGAATATGGATAGACTTACCTTATATGGCGACTGTAAGCAATTATTATCTTTCATAGAGAATCAATGTTACAAAGTGGATGGTGCATCTACCAATCGAAGATCAAGGGGTTGTTAAGGAATTTTAAGCAAATATTTTTTGTTTTTTAAATAGAAACTACAACCAGGCGATTCATGTTTTAGCATATATATATATATATATATATATATATATTTGTGTGTGTGTGAGTGATCTGATCCGAATTCAATTCGGTTTATGATCAGATCCTATTAATCCGATCCGAATATTCAAAATGGGGATATCCGAATCTAATAATATTGGATCAAATCATGATCTGATCTATTTTCACTCCTATATCGCCTGTATGTGCAATGTTTCAATCCATCATCGACCCAATCGATTAAACCGTTCGAACCATCACCCAACCAAGATTTCAAATCTGAATTTGATAAAACTTGAAAAATGATAAAAAACTGTTTGACTTGATCAAAACCATCCAAATTAAATGATTGGACCATTGACCCATTTGAAATGAATATATTTACCTTTACCTTTGCAGTAGTGGTTGTATACTAATCTTACTCATCCTAATGTCAAGCCACGTACCACCTTTACCTTTACCTTTACCTTTACTTGGTGATATAGAACTCAGAAATGAATATATTTTTCGAAACATAAGCCCAAATTTAGCTTCCTGTCATAAGAGGCTTTTATCGCAAATCCTCCTCACAGGGAACAGAGTACTGAACGAAGTTTGAAAGCCTATAGATGGGAACCTCCCCCTGCAAACTGGATTAAAGTGGTGTTTGGTATCCTGGCAGTTATGAGGCGTTTTCTGTAGGAACTAGGAAACAAAACACCACGCCACACTCAAAACAGCCACAAAACACCTTTAGTGAGACATTCTCTTACCAAAAAGTGTTTTGAGTGAGACACTCTCTGTTGCTGCCACATAAGAATAGTAAAGCCATGTCATCGAACCGTTTGAATAAATGCATGGCTGATGCTTGAAACACGTTTTTGGCGTTTTGAGCGGTGGTGATTTGCCTGCTTTTCAAGGCCTTGATTTGTGTTTCCTAAAACAGTTCATTCAAATATGATTTTTGACCGTTAAACTTAAAACGTCTACATGGCACCTATGTGTACTCGAAACAGGAACACCGCGCAACGTAGCTGGGCTGCAGTTGGAGGAATAATTTTACGTTCATAATTGGGTGGAACTCGAACCCTAATGGCAGAGTTATGGGAGCTATGGGTGCTCATCAAAGTAGATTTTTGGTTATGTCCATTGCATTTTTTCCTGATTTATTTATTAGAAATCGGGAGAAAACAGGTTGGGCACAAATTATAACGCAATAATTGTTTTTGTTTTTTGTTATACATGAACACCATGGAATGCCACTGGTTACCACACGGAGAATGACAGTAGTGATTTCGGTTTTTTTTTTTTCTCTTCAAACCGTAACCCTTTTCCACTCCTGTTTCTCGCCCACCTCACCCTCTGCCCCCTGCCGCTCACCATCAAAATCCACCACCGGTGGCTTTCTCTTTCTCTAAACTTATTTTGTCCATCTTCTTCCACCACGGACACTTCTCTGCATCGCAACCAACTATATCAGTTCATCCAAGTCTATTGCTATCAAATTCCACCACCGGTGGCTTTCTCTTTCTCTAAACCCTATTTTGTCCATCTTCTTCCGCAACAGACACTTCTCCACGTTGCTGCTGCAAGTTAACCAACTATATCAGTTCATCCAAGTCTAAGTTGTAAGTTTGATTCTTCCCTCTCTCTCTCTCTCTCTCTCCCCCCGCCCCCTGTTTTGTTCATCTTCATATGCCACAGAAGTGTATCTGCACTGCCGCAGCAAATCCAACGAAGTTGAACCAACTACACCAGTTCATCCGAATCGGAGTTGCAGGCTTGGTCCCGGTCAGTCACCAAGTGCATTTCTCTGGAGATCAGAATGTTCATTTTGTAAACCTAGCCGTGGATCAGAACGTTCGTTTTAGAAAGATGATCAAGCTACCACGTCAAATTTTGTGCTATCTCTGAAAATCGTTTATCATCTTGCTAGTCTGTAGTTGAATTTCTGGAATAAAAAAGGTTTTCCATTTTGCAATTTCATATTTCAAATCTAGAACTACAAACCCTACTTCATTTAGTATCAAACTTTCTGCACGCAAGGATGTAGAAGATTTCCCAGTTCCCACACATGCACACAGAGAGAGAAAATGGTCTACCGGTGATGGAAGTTGACAATGACCGACGACAAAGTACAGGGTGAGGCGGGAGAGAAAGGGGAGAGGAAGAAGATTAGACTGTTAGTACTCAAAAAGAAAAAATTAAATAAAAATTAAATTTTCCAACCACTCCTGAATCCTGTCATTTACTATCAGACGAATTCGCACATAGGAATGACCTTTTATCATGTAAAACTGACGTGGACTTTTGCAATTCGCCCCACAGCCCGCTCAACAGCTTGGCGCGTTCAGCTAATTCGAACTCGTGGTCTTGACTCTTGAACATTATCTTTAAGAGTAGAGTAGGATTCAACATTCAAGTACAACTGTTATCAATTGGCTCGATCCATTTTTTCATGCAAAATAGCAATAATGGGCAAAAACCAATAAAAGGGAATAAATAAATAACTTACATGGCTTCTGTATTCGGGATATGTAAAAACTCGCAACAACATTTATATTCAAAATGTGTATAATTGGATAAAAAGCCCCAATTTCAGTGGCACATGTCAACAGTGCCAGTTTGGTAAAGATAGAACCATTTAACAGACGGTCATGAAGATGAACCACCAAATACCTGCAAGAAGAATGATTTAGGCTTCTGTGTAGCAAAAAACAGAATTCCAACCAAGTGATCTAGCATTAATAAACGAGAAGACACTTACTCCAGCCAAGATTTCTTTAGATAGGCCAGACTTTTTTCTCTCCACTGCATTATCTGCAACAGGTCGTGTCTGTGGGAATTGACGAATCACCTTCACTTCCTGTTGCTCTACAGTGGACCCAGAATTTGCATCTGAACCATGTTGAGACTTCTGCTTCTGCATAGTATCAGCATAGATATAATACAATCAGCAACTGTCATGCAATTGATACCTTCTTTTGCATTACTGACCATTATATTGCTTTCCAAATATTCAAGGGGATTTATATGTTTGCACCACTAAATCTTCCAGCAACTACAAGTTTATTTCTTGAGCACAGAGTGGAATTCCAGACAATAATATCTACTTTAAATGAGACTATTAGTATCAAAAAACATACTGGGAAGCTCAATCACTCAATCTGCTGAATATATGCACCAGAAAAATTGGAGATATGATTCTTTTTTTTTAATTTACATAAGCAAAGATTGTAATGTCATTCACAAAAGTTTCTTTTTAATACAAACTAGAGAATTATTATATCTCTCAGGGTTAGACCTCATACTAACCCAATAAAGAAACAGGGAGACCCGGTCCCCATGCAGACCCTATACATCAAGCACGTAACAGGACCAGAACTGACCCTGTTATTAATCAGGCTTACGGGTTTGACCTGATAATTAAACAATAAACTTGGGAAATGAAGAGTTTAGACATTATTTGAAGATATTACATGTCAAGAAGAAACATCTAAACACACATTAGGTCAGATCTTGCCCTTACTAGTTCAGGACAGGGTGGACCCAGTCCAAAAATCAGAACCAGAGCTGACCCATCACAACAATTGGACCATGTATACTAGGGTCTGCTTGGTCGAGGCCTGTCAGGTCAACGTGGATGGCTGGCCCATTGATAGGTCTACAGAGATGATAGGCCTAAAGAGATACAAGCAAAAATGCTATGCCTTGCTTTCATTATCCTAATTCCCACACACAAGGCATCGGGTTGCATCTCTCACTACCTTCAACTCTTTTGATCCTGCTATAGATCAAAATAGTAGTATAATAGTAAAAAGCGGGAATAGCTCCCCATGGCTTCCAGACTATTCTTGACTAAAATACCCCTATTTTTGAAATTGGTCCCTCTTATTGTGAGGGCAGAAATTGTGATTTGAACACTACTATTCAGCCTCATTCTGTTCCCTCTGAATAAGTCCCATTCCCATATTTAAGGTATTAACTGCTATTCCCTCTCATATTTAATATATCTTCATTCCTCAACATTAAATTCCACTAATTATATCTATGAACAATCTCTTCCACTATAAAATGCATGGATCCTCTAACAAGATTTCTGGAATTCTTTTCTGTTTCAGCATAAATGTATGAATCCTCTCACAAGACCTCTAGATTTTTTCTTAGACAAATCTTCACTCTTCATATTGACTGCAAATTAATTAAGGGCAAAAGAAATCCTTTTTTCGGGCTACATAAATTATTTCCTCCCTCCTTCCCTTCCCTCTATATACACAAGAATGAATAAGCATGTAGAACTTCTCTTCTTAACTAAAATACCCCTATTTTTGAATTTAGTCTCCCTCTAATTGTAAGGGCAAAATATGTACTTTATATTAATCATATTAAAGAAAAATGTGTGATAAACAAGAATATTTTATTCATGATGGAAACGAAATACAAAATTTAAAATCAACCCAAAAAAAATGAAATCATTTTCCTATTTGGTGGTGGGTCAACAGTTCAACCTTTTGGGTCAAATGTGTTAGCTCTTGATGTCATAATTAAATAGTAAAAAACAAAAAAAAGCTAAAAACACAAAATTTATAAAAAAAAATACAGTATTTTGTAGAAATCATTTGGGCATATCTATTATTATATATTCATTATATCAAGAAATAAGTGTGATAAATAATTTTTTATACATAAAAATATTAAAAAAAATTGTAGAAAATTTGACACATCATTACCATTACTGTCACCATCTAAAATTGTCGTGTGAAAATTTGTTATAAATAATCAACAGGTATTAGGCAAGGAGACCCCCTCTCCCAGTCTCCCCCTTCCTATTATTCATCTTGATTGCTGAAGTGTTGGGGAGGCTTATAGAGAGGGCCGAATCTAGAAGCTTGGTGAGAAGGTGGAAAGTAGGAAGGGATAGGATTCTAGTTACCCACTTACAGTTTACAGACAATACAATCTTGTTTTGTGAGGGGAGGAGATCGATTGGGTAAGCAACTTGAAATTGGTGATTAATGTGTTTGAACAAATGACTAATCTTTTTTTATCATTGAACAAATGACAATCTTAAAGTCAATTTTGATAAGAGTTGTGTGGTTGGAATCGACATGAGTGATAGAGAAGTGGAAGAAAATGCCCAAGTTATGGATTGTGTGATTTCCTCAGTGGTTGTTGAACTATTTAGGGCTACCCCTTGGGGATAATCCGAGTAAAATGAGCTTCTGGAACCCAGTGGTTGATAAATTCACCAAGAGATTAGCCTCGTGGAAGAAGAACTACCTATCCCTAGGTGGAAGGATTACGCTGATTAAATGGACTTTGGCCGATTTTCCTATATATTTTGTCAGTGTTTAAGATTCCAAGGGAGTCTGTAGGAGTTTGGAGAAATTAATGAGAGATTTCCTTTGGGAACCTGGGGAAGAGAAGAGAGACCACAGAGTTAGGTGGGAGATAGTTACTAAAACCAAGAATGTTGGTGGGTTAGGTTTGATTAACTTACAAAAGAAGAACGAGGCTTTATTGGGGAAATGGTATGGAGATTGACAGTGGAAAGGTTGTGGGCTGAAGTAATCTTAAGTATACATGGGCAAGCAGCTAAAGGTTGGGATGTAGGAGTATCCACTGGGGCTACAAGAGCTTCTCCTTGGAAATCTATTCATGTCATTCTTCCGACCTTCCTTCCACTCATCAGGTATGATCTTTGCTCCGGAAACCTTGTGAAATTTTGGGAACATGTTTGGATGGGAAACATACCTTTGAAAGAGTACTTCCCTTCTTTATATTCCCTCTCCATGTTTAAAAATGAGCTTGTTTCCACCATTCTAACTTGTTTTCTGCTTTGAATTGGAACTTGGGTTTTACAAGGGCTCTCAGAGACTCGAATTGAACAGTGATTCTGCTTTACTTAAAATCCTTGATGAGGTGGTTCTGGATCCCTCTAGGAGGCATAGTAGGATTTGGACCCCTTCCCCCTCGGGTGCCTTTTCTTGTTCTTCCTTCTTTAGATAGTTAGTTCTACCCTCAACCAATAATGGACAACCTTTCCCACTTTTGGAAGTTTTGGGTAAGCCAATTCCTCCAAATATAGGTGCTTTTTGTTGGGAAGCTTTCTTAGAAAAGTGTAACACTTGTGATTACTCCAAAAGAAAAGGACTAATTGGTGTTTGTCCCCCCACACCGGTGTGCCCTTTGTAAGGATAATGGTGAGAGCTGCTATCACTTATTAATCTCTTGCTCTTTTGTCTCTAAATATGGAGTTGGTTTCTCTCTCTATTTGGAGGAAGACAAACACTCTTATCTGGCCTGTGTACAGTTTGCAATCATTCCATTTCTGTTAATGGGTCAAAGAGGAGAAGCAAAACACAATGGAGATGTGTTAGAGCAGCTATCTGTTGGACTGTTTGGGAGGAAAGAAACCAAAGAATTTCCCTGAAAAAGAAAGAAGTGACGAGGCCATAATAGAAACCATAACTGTTAGGGTGGTTCAGTGGGTCAAGACTATGAAGCTCTTTGAGGGGTTTACAGCTGGAGATATTATTAAGAATTGGAAAGATGTGGCCCATTCAACTACTCTTAAATCTGTAACTAATCCAGTATGGTCCCCTTCAGCTGGTGGGTTCACCAAATTGAATTTTGATGGTAGCAGTGATGGAACCCAGGGCCATCAGGTATTGGAGGAGTTTTCAGGGATGAGGGTGGAAGAATTATTGCCTTTTTCAGGCACCATTGGAATTGGAGATTCCCTAAGAGCTGAAATCTTGGCAGTTTCGGAAGAGGTAAAGAGAGTACGAGATTTGAATATAAAATATCTGATGGTGGAGGGTGATTCAACGTTGGTTATTCACTGGTTGCAGAATGAAGAGATGGGCTTCTGGAAATTTTTAAATGAAAAAAAGAAATTTACACAGCTGACTCAAGGCATGGAAATTAAGTTTCAATGGATTAAGAGAAGTGCAAACTCCTTTGCTGACTCACTTACCAAACAAGGGGTGGGAAGAGAAAGTCTTTTTTGGGCATTGTTGTAATATGGATATCATTTCAGGAGGGTTAAGAGATTTTACCCCTATTGTTTCATGAATTTACTAAAAGCTACCCTATAGTTTGTATTTTACTAAAACATTCCCTTTAGTTTGCAATCTATTTACTTAATCGACCTTCCATTAGATGAAAGTGGAAAACGACAGTTTGAACCGTAACATCCACTCAAATAATTTTAATCAAAATAAACTAAAGAAAATGCCATTTTTGCCCCTAGTAAAACACAGACAACCACTCTATTTTGTCAATTTTGTCTTCTATACAAAAAAGTGTTAGGGGTACTTTTGGAATAAACAACCATGGATCCATACCCTTGAACATTTTCCACTCAGTATGGGTCCATGCCCTTAAACATTTCCCACTTAATTTAAGTGATCATGTTACTATTTTTTGATGGAAAACACAAAGAGTTCTTAATGAAAGGTCGATTAAGTAAATAGGTTGCAAACTATAAGGGGTATTTTAGTAAAATACAAACTATAGGGTAGGCTCAAGTAAATCTGTAAAACTATAGGGGGTTCTAGTAAATGACCCTAAATAAAATTCTGTTAATTATCCAAAAAATAATAATCTGAAGGGATGTTTGATAACAGCTGAGGTGGCTGAACTGAAAGACTTATTGCCTTGTCTTTTGGTAGATAAGATAATTAAATAATTAAATATTCAAGGGCAAAATAATAAACCCAAGTTCATTTTTAGCCATTAAAGAGCTCACAACCTGCTTATAACTTATTTACTAAAAGACAAGTAATTTAGTTCAGTTACTTCAGATGTCATCAAATGGCTACTAAAAAATCCTCTCAAATTCCAATGAAAAGATAATATCAAGGGTTGGAGATAAAAGCTCAGTTCTAGCCATATAACCAGAACCTCATAAGGCCTGAAGAAACAAGGATCACCTCTTCTTTACTGCTTCTAAGCTTCTGAAAAACCCAGATTGGACTAGGTTACCCAAATAGCATTCTTGAAAGTTGATTTCTGTAGCAGGATTAGCTGGAGGACCCACTCTATCCTATAGTCTCTAATGAAAGTCAACTGATAAGCCTCTAACTCTCCAACTCCAGCACCTAATGGATGATTCTAACAGAAACAAGGCACTAAGGAGTACCCATAATTAAGTGCATCCCAACATGATTTTTCCCCAAGTACTAAGGAGAAATATGGCAACTCTGAAGGAGTTGTCAATTTGCTGAGAAAAAGGGTACTCAATCCAAAAGGAAAAGACATGTCCACAGAGCTTCAAGGCATAACAATATGAACAAAAAGATTATTCACCAATAGCCCACCTTCAACACAAAAGATACAACTTTTAGGGGATAACCAAGTGTTTTGTTTCCTTTGAAGTAAATCAAAGATGTTGAGCTTTCTATGAATCACTTCCTGCATAAAGCTCTCATATTACAAGGGCAAATACCTTCAACAAAATTTTATACCGAGAGGAAATTCAGACTTTCAAAATAAAGAAAATATCAATTTCCTCTTCCTACAAGTAGGCTGTCCATTATATAAAGGATTTGCATACAGAAGCGGAATTAGATAATGTTGGGTTGCCTTCTAAAGTTGAGCCTACAGGCAAGCAGTGGGATCAAAGTTGTTATGTTTAGAGCATTTAACTATGGAGTCCCTTGAGACTTACGTATGAAAAAACCCCTTCTGAGAGGAATCAAAGTGAAAAAAAAAATGTGTAAGAAAACATGATAAAAAATAGTGATATTACAAGAAAAGGTGAAACTGGATAATAGGATTACCTTCTTCACCCGTTCCTGTATAGAATTTAAGGCACGTGACTGATTGACCTTTGAGAGGTAGAAGTCCCGCTCCTTCTTAGCAGCAGATATCTCCATTGCTAGCTTCTGCTCACGAATGGCATTCTTGTAAGCTGCATTGGCATGTCTTGGCTTAGGGAGAGATAGCAGTGTTAAAATACCCAGTATATCATAGAACAAAATATGAAAACACTCCATACCAATTTCTTCAGTAAGATCATCCCATTTAAATTTGCTTAAATACTTGATGTTCCAAAGGTCATAATAGAAAGATGATCTCTTCCTCCCACCTGTGTACGAGGAAAGCAAGCAGGTTATGAGAATTCAGGTAGGAACTGGAATTAGAAAAACAAAATGAAGTTAATAGGTTTAGGTTGATATTATATTTATTAATTAGCAACTCAATCAGCATAAGCCTGAATGCTTGATTGATAATAGGTAGTCTAATTTTAATCCTCAATCAGCAGAAATATTAAAATACATGGCTATAAAAACAAGCCCAATCTACTTTTCTGGTTAAGAATTATGAAAGAAAATTAAAAAAGAAGCCCAATCAATCTGAGTTCACTTTGCTAATCTTTTAAAATAGAGTGCACCTCTAAAGTGGGATATTTTCCATATGACAAGAGATGAAAGCCCCTTGTTTAGCTAAAGAATCTGACAAAGCATTTGCCAATCTACTAACCCATTGAAAGCTAGCTGACATGGTTCTCGTAAGCCATTTGACTTTTTTGATGATGTCCCTATATCCCCAAACAACAGTTTTTGGGTCCGACATTCATCCCACTATCACCTTAGAGTCTCCTTCAACTATCAAATTAGTCACTCCAAGTTGGACAGAAATATGTAGCCCTTGTATCACAGTTAATATCTCAGCCCTTGTAGAGTCTCCAAAACCCACTGGACCTGAGAATAAGGACAGAATTTTGCCATCCTTATTCCTCAAGATCCCTCCTATACCCGAAGGCCCTGGATTGCCTTGACTGCTCCCATCAAAGTTCAACTTTACAACTCCTTCGGGAGGGGGTAACCAACTTGCTTGTGTTCTGTTTTTCTTGGATGATGTGGAGGCCACTGCTGCCCAACTCCTTCAAAGGTCATCACTAGAGTAATCCACAAAGAGATCAGTAGTTTTTAGCAAGGTTCAAAGTATCGACACGTATCAGCCCGTATCAGCCGATACGTATCATTCCGGACCCCTATAATACGCCCCTATACTGGGTGTATCGGGGGTCTGACCGGTTCAGGGGGTGGAGCTAAACCGGCCCCCCTGAACTTGGTTTTTAGCCAAAGGATTGCCCTTGTCAATATACAATCCTTTATTTCAGCAATGCTTCTCTCCTTCTCCTGGAAAATTTTGCCATTTCTTTCCTCCCAAATGGTCCATAAGAGGGCTGCCCCAATAAATTTCCACATTACTTTCCCCCTCTTTGTTGGCCAACCAAAAAAAGACGGATCAAAAAGCATATTTACTTCAGGAAGCAGGTTCCACCTGTACCCACAAGCATAAAAACCCAATTTCAAATATTTACTGTAAAAGAGCAAGAAATCAGTAGGTGATAACAGTCCTCATTYTGCACTTTACATAAAATGCACCAATTGGGGGACAAGCATGAATAAGGTCTCTTTTTTTGWACATTGTCCACAGTATTAATTTTACCATAATACACTTCCCAACAAAAACCAGAAATTTTAAGTGGAATTGGCCTTAACCAGACTTCTTTAACTGAGAACAACAAAGGGGAAGGAATAGAGCATAAAGATTTAAGGAAGGAAGAACAAGAGAAGGAGCCACTCGATGTCAAAGACCAAATTCTTCTATCTGGTTTAGGAGGGTCCAAACAAACAGAATCAAGTAAAAGTAAGAGCTCAGAGGCAAAAACCGATTTCTCATCCCTCAACCCTCTACGAAACCCAAAATCCTAATTAAGAGACAATGGGAGAATGGGGGAAGAAAGAAACCTCGAAACAAGCTCCTTTTTATAGAGGGAAATAGAAAAAAGGGAGAGATAGAGGTCTTTCAATGGTTGGTTGCCCACCCAAACATCTTCCCAAAAAAGCACAAAATTACCATTGCAGACATCATATCTTACAAACTTGAGAAACTTTGGGAGGATGCGAGTGTGGCCCGTTGAGATACCCCAGTATCCCAACCAGATTCAAAACAGCCATGGATACTATCCACCACCTCATGCCATAATCTCTCTCTTTCCAGAGGCCACCTCCATAACCACTTGCCCAAAAGAGATTCATTCTTATTTACTAGGTTCCCTAAACCTAAGCCCCCTTGTTCCTTGCTTCGACTCACCACCTCCCATCTAATCAAATGATCCTTCTTCTCTGCACAGGGCTCCCACGAAAAATCCCTCATCAACTTTTCTATCTTCTTGGCTTCCCTAACAGGTATCCTTAAAACAGACAAAAAGTAGATGGGTAAGTTTGCGAATGTGGCCCTAATCAAAGTTATTCTACCCCCCAGAGAGATATAGTTCTTTTTCCAAGTCACTAGCCTTTTTTCAAACTTCTCTACCACCTAAATGACCATATTTATATATGTAGAATATTATCAATATAACAAAAGATGAGAACAAGAAAGGAATAACATACCTATTTGTTGACCATTTAACATGCTAGCAACCTGCTTTGCAATACTTTTCTTGGTGAACTCAACCCACCTACATGTGACAAAAATTGTTAAAAGATCATATGCAGATAATGACTACATATATAAATACAATTTCACAAAGCAGAAGCTGATATGAGCTTTCATAATTAAAGGAAGATTAAACAGAAGATTTGCAAACTAAAAAATTATACAGAAGAGTCTTTCAAGAAGGAAAAAAAAAGCATAAGCGACTTCCAGAAGCCAATACAATACTTGCCAACTTGTATCTTATTACAGTGCCAAAATAGAGCAAATTGTTATAAATTACAAGATAATTTTACTTAAGGAATATCTATAGTTAAATAACACACCCTTCTGTAAATTGTTGACCTCGAAAGCCACCTGCCCGTTTACGATGTACTTGAGCCACTGGATCTGCCAGGCAAAACCAAAGAGTTCTTCTATTAGGAAATGATAACTATAGCCTTCATTTTATTAGGAAATGATAACCCATTTACTAATAACTATAGCCTATAATAAGATAATTATAGCCTTATCAATAACTATCTATAAACTTGTGAAGAATATCAGATCTATGAACCTAGCATGCATAAAGTATTAAAACATAAAAGCTGAAATTTTCTTAAGAGTGGATAAGTCAACTATTAATAGGCTTACAGGTTCACAAACAACAAACAAGAGCATAACCAAAGAATTCCAGAAGCACCCAAAAAAAAAAGATTTTAAAGAAACAGCCAGCTGAAACTATTTATTACTTTCAGGTGTAAGATAGATTCGTTCTATCTCTCCATACTGAGACAGAAGCTGGCGAAGCTTCAAAGGATCCATGTGAGGAGGAATGCGACTCAAATAACAAACTCCGCGTTTGTCAGCCTTGGCAGCTTCCTCCAATAAACGTTTATTCTTTTTATTTTTCCTTTTTTCCTTCCTTCTATCATTTGTTTGTGCACCTAATGCATTTAATTCCTCTGAAGGTCCTGTCTTGTTTCCATCTTTTTCATCCTCAGCCATTTTAGCATCTGGGAGATAATGCAAAGAGAACACATGAATAAAACTGAATAACCACAAAAGTGAGTAAAATAATACTTAGAAAGTAACTATACCATTAATTGATCAAAAAAAAAAAAAGTAACTATACCATTACGGATTACTATACTACCATAGGAATATAAAGTACAACCAATAATGTGAAGGAACAGTTCGTAATCTGTCAAAACAATTGAGTACTGGACACATTACAAAGTCATCTAAAACAGATAATAGGAAGCACAATACAAGTTCGTGTATTCACAGATAAACTGGAAAAGGCTATGAAGGTTCTCCGAAGAAACTGATAGCATTAGGATCAGTTTAGGAAGAGTGCAAATACAAATATGTACAATGCAGAAACTTGTATACAGTATTTCTAAACCTTGTATTTGCACTCTTTTTTTATGAGTACTTTGTATTTGCACTCTTCCCAAACTGAGCTTAAGGAAAGAAGTTAGCAAGGCCAAATATAAGTGCAGTCCATATCAATCAGACACAGCCAAGACTTTTCAAGTTACTGGATGTTCGGTTTGGAGGGGGATTTGTAAAACATATCCTTGTTTCACTAAAAAAAGGAAGTGACTTAGACAAAAAGAGAAGCAACTTGGACAAAAAGACAAGTGACTTGGACAAAAAGAAACGAAGTGACTTAGACAAATCTTGCTTGTCAATAACCTCGGACCAATCAATCGAATAGGGACTTGTGGTTCTCCAATAGGCCACTAATGGAGCTGTTCCCAGGCTAATTTCTGATTGCGGAAAATAGGAACTCTTCTGTACCTTTTGTTTTGAAGTTAACCATCGGGTTGTATGGAAACCCAGGTTTACGAGAAATCTTAATGATTGGGAACTGGTGGTGATGAAGGACCTCTCCTTAATTCTCTACAAACAAAAGCCAAGTATCTCTAAGCCAAGACTGTAGAATATGGAGATGGGACCTGAAAGCGAATCTCTCGACAAAATCTTTCTTCTTATACTTAACTAGGGGAGACAGGATGGTCTTCCCAAAAGACAAAGTTGGGTTCCAGCTGTTCCTTCTAGCCTTCTTGGTTTGGACAGCCTTTGGGAGAAATACCTCGCAGTAGACAAACTGAACAGGAGGGGTGTGGAGATTACTAATACTGGATGTGTAATGTGCTCCCAATCAGAGGTAAGTAACAATCACCTGTTTCTGCATTTTCTAAAAGGCTTTGTGTATTCTCTGGAGCTTCCCTGAAAACCTAAAGAAAGCACTCTGGTGCTGGCAGATAACAAGGAAAAGAAGCAGATTATTATGGTTCTCTACAGCTGCAAACATGCGAGTGATTTGGAACAAAAGGAATGTGTGTGTTTTCAATAATGTCTTTTCTGAGGATATGCTGAAAAATAAGATATCTGGCAGTTGGCACCATATGGTCCTGGATAGCAGTATATCCTCTCTTCAGGGATTTCTCTTTTCCATCTCTTTTTTTTTATTTCAATGTTATATCTGAGCATAGATGACTTTTTTTGTGCACAGTATGTCTATACTGATTTTAAGATGTACAGCATCCCATTCTACTTACCTATAGATGTTCTTGTATACTTCATGATTCAGTAATGGAATCCTTACATTACCTTGTTCAAAAAAATAGATAAACTGGAAAACTAAAATTGTTCAAACAATAAATAAATACAACAATGAATTTAGCACCACGTTGCAATGCCAGGTCCCCTTGTCACTTTCTCAATGCAAACTTTAGAGATATTAGAGGTTGATATTAAATTGTAAATTTGTAATTTGATGCAGAGAACTGAACTCAAAAAAAAAAAAAAAAAAAAGCCAACATTACAGTTGGATGAACCTGACAAAATAGTACTAAGATTACTCCAAACCCAAGGGAAATATGGAAATAAGTGGATAAACAAGCCTGACAAATTGTAATAGACCAGATATAATCCTTTACAGAAGGCATTGTCACTTTAGATTCAGAACAAGACTATCAATCAAAGAAGATAAAACATTGGCTGTCATTCTAAATTACTCATTTAGACTCCAAGATAAGCTAATTATTTAGTTGATTCACTGGCAAGGGAAGGGATGATATGGTAGGCCTCAAGACTGCTTTGGCATCTGTATTTCTTTCACTCTGTCAGCTGTAAGTTGTATATGATGCAGAGCATCAACCTGTGCTACTGCAAAATAATCAATTGCAGCTCATCCAACCTCCATCAGAAGACCCCGAATGGAACACAAGTCAGTTTAGAACCACCCCAATGTGTCTAAGGTGTATTCTCAAAGGGAGTGATAACAGCCTAAGGCATCCCTTTTAGTTCAACCAAGTGAGCCCCATGTTATCTTTGATTTTATTTTTGAAAAGGTCCTTTTGGTGCCAATTTGAGATGCCTATTATAAGAATATTTTGCCAGTTTATGATTCTAATTATATATATAGGTTATTTTATTAAATTGATTAAAAGTGGATTAGTACAATTCGATTACAAGAGTGTATTCCCCACTTACGCAAAGTAAATTACAAAGATGCCCAATAAAATTGCTGCCTTGCGGCCCCTTGTTTTGCTAGGGCATCAGCCAGCCCATTTGAAGTCATTCTAACCCACTTGAAATCAGCATTCAAGTCCTTTTCCAGCCTTTCAACTTCCTTGGAAATATGTTCAAGAGTCCAAGAATTTGTCTATTGCCAGACGCCCATGTAATAACCACTTTTGAATCCCCTTCCACCTCCACCTGTCTAAATCCCAATTGCTTTGCCAAACAAAGCCCATGAAACAATGCCAAAAGCTCTGCTTTCACAGAGTTAGTAGTGCCAATTGGTCCTAAAAAGAGCCAAAAATCCTGCTCTCCGAGTTTCTGATTGCTCCACCTATTTCTGCCAGTCCTGGGTTACCCCAGGAGCTGCTATCAAAGTTCAGCTTAACTTTATTGCCTTCTGGAGGTAGCCATTCCAATCTTATTACTTCTTTTGTTAGAGGACTGTGCTACTTCCTTCCAAGTTGCAATCCAAAGTCTTAACCCAAAAGGCAACCTTTACTTTTATGTTGTCTATTACCTCCTCCACAGTCCTACTCTTTTCATTGAAGATTCTGTTATTCCTCTCTTCCCACATCACCCAAGCTATTGCTGCCTTAGTAGCTTTCGGCATTATTCTCCCTCTCTTCTTTTGCTGCCTTAGGAAGCTTGGGTTGAAGATATCCACCACCTCTTGAGGGGGAACCCACCTGCAGCCAAATAGAGAGAAGAAAAACTCCCAAATACAACTCACAAAAAGACAAGAGATTAATAGATGGGCAAGGGTCTCTCCACTGTCCATACGTAGGAAACAAATATGAGTAGAGATGTAACAAGAAGGCCTCCTTTTCTGCAGCATAACACAAGTATTTACCTTTCCAAGGAAAATAGTCCAGCAGAAAGCTTGGGTTTTTGGTGGGATAGGCTTACACCAAATTTCTTTCACTGGGAGGTCCACCCCTTGAAGACTGGGTAAAACTAGATGCCTGAAGAAAGAGGAGCAAATTAAACAGTCTCCAAGAGTCCAGAATCCTCCAAATTTGGGTCCACGGTAACTGTCTCCAAGATTTTAAGAAGGTCAATCAATAAGTTACACTCCCTTTCCCTAAGACCTCTTCTAAAACCAAGCTGCCAGTTGAGGCCTGAAGGGGAAGGAGTGCCCAAATTAAACAGTTTCATTTTTGAGAATTGAGAGGGCAAAAAATTCAGGAAAACTATCTTTTAGTGGTGAATCCCCTATCCAAAGGTCTTCCCAAAAACAGATTTTTATCCCCTCTGCCCAAATCAAAGCTGATAGAGTTGAGAAAGATAGGATATACCTTGTGAATAGCTTTCCAAGGAGAAGCTGAAGTTGCATGAGAAGCAACTTTCACATCCCAGCCATTGCCTCCCAAGCCATGAATGCTTACAATTACCTTGTACCACAGCCTTATCTCTTTCAAAAGAAAACCTCCAGAACCATTTCCCCAACAGTGCAGTGTTCCTAAGCTCAATGTTTCCTAATCCTATGCCTCATTTTTCTTTTAGTTTACTAACCTGCTCCCATTTAACCAAGTGATCCTTTTTTCCTCCCCCGACTCTCAAAGGAAATCCCTTATGCATTTCTCTAGTTGTCTTGCAATTCTAGAGGGAATGCAAAAAGTTGAAAGAAAGTAGATAGGTAGATTTGCTAAAGTGGCTCTAATCAAGGTGATTCTTCCCCCTAGGGAAATATAATTTCTTTTCCATAGAGTTAGTTTCTTTACAAACCTCTCTACCACCGGTTTCCAAGCCATCAACTCTCAGGTTTCCCCCAAAGGTAAACCTAGGTAGGTAATAGGCCAATTCCTTATATCACACCCCAGCACCTCTATAAAACTCAGATTTTTTATCAGTAACTCATAAAAGGAATTTATTAATTTTATTTTTTTATCAAAATTTCCCCATCCTCCAAATTAATTCCTCAACACCTTTAAGTTTTTCACCATTTCCAGATCGACATCCTCATAGAATAAGATTATATCATCAGCAAATTGGAGGTGGGAAACAATTACTTGATCTCTCCCAACCCTCCAACCCCTAAACTGTCCCGGTGGGTTTGCAGCCATAATCATCCTACTCGGGACCTCAGCCACTAGAGTGAAAAGGAAAGGGGATAGTGGGTCCCCTCACCTTATACCTCTCATTGCTGGGAAGAAATCCTTTACCACTCCATTGATAAGAACTAAATAGAAAACTGATTTAATACAACCTTCGCTCTACTTCTTTTTTTTCTCAACAACACATTCATTAGCCACTAAGATTTGGTCCATGATCTATCTACCTCCCACAAAAGCCCCTTGGAACAGTGAAATCACTGATGGTAGAACCAGCTTTAATCTCTCCAATAGAACCTTTGAAATTATCTTATAAAGACTCCCAATCAAGCTCATTGGTCTATAGTCCTTCAGAGATTTTTTTTGGATCAATAATAGAAAATTTTATTAATTGATTGAGAAAATTACAGAGTAAGGGCCAATAAAAACTTGTAACTCCTAGATACAGCCAAGATACACCCAAAATATAAGAGCAATTACAACTGAGCCAAAAAGATAGAATTTCTGTTCACCCCTTGCCTAGCTAGGGAACCAAAGAGATAAAGGTAGCATTTGCTCCAAAGGGGTCTAATGAAGAATTCTCCAAAAACTTGCAAATGATTTGACTTAAAAAATCCCAACATCGTGGTAGAAAGCCATAGAGAATTCATCTGGTCCTGGGGTTTTAGATCTATCCATTAAGAAAATTGCTCCCTTAATTTCTTCCAAAGAAAAACTTCTTCCCAACATTTGGTGGTGCTCCTCTGATATTTTAATCCAATTTAGGATTCTAATTATAAGAGTTATTTTGTCAGTTTAGGGTTATAAGAGTTATTTATCAGTTTAGGATTCTTATCATAAGAATTATTTTCAGTTTAGATTGATCAAAAATCATTTTCAGTTTAGGAGTCTTTTTAACATTAGCTTCCTGGTTGTTTTCTAAGTATGGTAAGGTCTATTTAAGACAGCTAGAACAGATAGTAAGGCAGTTATTTCTGGAAGGAATAAACGAAGTTTTTTTTTCCTTTGGATTTTCTCTTCTCTATTCTCCTGCACAGAGCAGAGGATATCAGCCCTGGCTTCTGTCAAATTCTTCAAACCCTAGCGGTTTGACACTACTAAAACCAAGCCCCCTCTTCCCTAAACAAGTAGTTTAGAGACTGCTTGGTGGACTGTATAGCAGGGCTACCCATCGCCCCTGTGATGCAGGAGCTGAAGAGTTGAAATTGGAATTTTGTGTATTTCTGTATTTTTGGACACTGGGGATAATTTTTCCATTTTAAAATTTTTCTGTAGGGTCCAATAATATGGTTTGATTGTCTATTTATAGTTTGTTTATGTTAAAAATTTCAGTCATTGCATAAGTAGGATTAGAGTTGAGTCTTCTTTGAATTGAAATAGGATATGACAGCTTAGTTTGAGTCCTATTAGGATTATTGAGTCTAATAGTTCGACTCCTAAGACTGTTATGAGTTTAGAGTATAAATATGTATGGACGTTTTACATAGAGCAATGAAGTTTATTGAGTTTTCTTCAGCTTATGCTAATTATGGTGAGTGATTCCCATACCCTAGAGTGATTCTAGGCACCCCGTGAATGATTCAGGGTATTTTCTCTTTTCTTTCTATTCCTATTTTCTTTCCTGTTCCTTCAAGAAGCCATTACAGCCATCAACAGCCAAAAATTTTTTTATCAAAGAAGACCATTCAACATTAATGGTTGTTGGTGGCTGTAATGGCTTCTTGAAGGAACAAGAAAGAAAATAGAAATAGAAAGAAGAGAGAAAATAGCAAGAATCACTCACAAGTTGCCTAGAATCACTCTAGGGTATGGGAATCACTCACCATAATTAGCATAAACTGAAGAAAATCCAATAAACGTCATTGCTCTTTGTGTAAAACATCTATACATGTTTATAGACTCTAAACTCATAATAATCCTAGGAGTCAAACTGTTAGACTCAATAATCCTAGTAGGACTCAAACTAAGTTGTCATACTCATATCCCATTTTAATTCAAAGAATAATCAATAACAATAATCTTAGTTATGCAATGACTGAAATTTTTAACATAAACAAACTATAAAAAGCCAATCCAACCCTATTATTGGACCCTACAGAAAAATTGTAAAATGGCAAAATTATCCCCAATGTCCAAAAAGGCAGAACTAAATAAAATTTCACAAATTTCGAATTTTGACTCTTCAGTACCTACATCATTCTCCACCAGTTCAAAAACACTCATCTTCAAGTTTTGAAGAACTTGAGGATGAAAAGTTGGTATGCCCCAATGACAAAAGGCATAGGACTTCCCACAGCTGCATGCTTGGATTGTAGAGTAGAGGTCACACACATAACTAGAAAAGGATCTTGAAAGAAATGTATTTCTAAAACACTGCCTTCCATAGCCATCTTTGTTAAATCATCAATACATTAGCTTCTTGAACACTTAATTCATCAACCTGTCATTGTAATGAATTTTCTTCCTCGCTTATCCATAATCTCAACTGCAATATTTGGAACTTTTCCTTCAATCTCTAGATTATGAATCACTCAATCACCATCTTTATGTGTTATGCTACCCTTGGTTCTTCAACATACTCTAGGACTTCTTCCATTGTTGATGTTGGTGGAACTTGTGTCATGTCAGGTTGTAATTCTTGAATTAGTTCTAGTTGAACTTGTAAGGTAAAGTCAGTTACTTCCTTACTAGGATCTACTACAATCAGCACATCTGTATCTTGCACCCAAAATTCTGAAACTTGTTCCACTTCTATTTCTTCTTGATTATTAACCTCGAGCTGATTATGGGTTGGAAACTCCTTCAGCAATTTCTGTTTTTTCTTGGCTTGTACATATTTAATATCTACAACTTTTATGGCTTGAAGTTCTGGTTCTTTAGCTTCAACCTCAATTTCAGATCTAGGATAGGCATCAATATGCAAGGAATCATTTACTTTCTTAACTTTGTACCTTCTTCCCATTGACTTCAAGTTCTTTGCTGTAACCTGTTGCTTCTTCTCTTGCTTGAAATTAGTCAACTCCATAAGCATGGAAGTCTAGTGGGATGCACTTTCCTTGCAAATGCCTCTTCATCTTTGCCCATGTACTAATAGGATTATCACCTTTGTTTTCTAGCCATTGTTCAAAAGTTCTCCATACTTTAGCATGACCCATCAACTTCATGGGTGCAAATCTAATCCTTTGTTTGTCAGCCAAATCATGCCAATCAAAATACTCGAGTTCAGCAACCCAATCAAAGAATGATTGCGGATCATCATCTCCTTTGAAATCTGGTATTTCCCTTTCTCTTCTAACATGTTTGAAACCTTACTCCCGTAGCCAACATTATTAGATATGTTTTCTTCCACCATCTTCTCAAATGAGTCAACCAAAGACCCTTCATATGGTTCAAAAACCCAATCATCATTGATTCTAGACATGTAAGATTGTTCAAAAGAGACCCTAGGCCCATAGAATCAATCACTTTGTGAAAACATAGTGAATAACCATTAGCTCTAATACCAAACTGATGAAGGACCAGCTCAATCCTAGTCCTTAGAGAATGTTGAATGGTTATCTTTGATCATAAATTTGTGACTGTTGATGGCTGCAATGGCTTCTTGAAGGAACAAGAAAGAAAATAGGAATAGAAACAGAAGAGAAAATAGCTGGAATCACTCACGGGGTGCCTAAAAGCACTCTAGGGTATGGGAATCACTCACCATAATTAGCATAAGCTGAAGAAAACTCAATAAACATCATTGCTCTTTGTGTGAAACGTCCATACATATTTATAGACTCTAAACCCATAACAATCCTAGGAGTCAAACTGTTAGACTCAATAATCCTAGTAGGACCCAAACTAAGTTGTCATATCCTATTTCAATTCAAAGAAACTCAATAACTCTAGTCCTGCTTAATGACTCTAAAATTTTTAACACAAACAAACTATAAATAGACAATCAAACCCTATTATTGGACCCTGCAAAAAATTGTAAAATGGAAAAGTTATCCCCGGTATCCAAAAATACAGAAATACATAAAATTTCACAAAATTCCAACTGACTCTTAAACTCCTGCATCACCCTGTTTGTTGCACCTTAAAACAGTAGTTAAATCTTGGTAGCTGCATTAATATACTAGTTCCCTATAGTCCACACTACAAGTAGTAGTGGTTAATTTACTTTCCTACACCAGACAAAATTCTTTTGATTGTGGTTGCTGGTAAAAAAAAAAATGAATTCCACAGTTGCCAATTTGCAGTCCAGATGAAGTTGTCTATAATTATAAATGCCAAAATGAAAATGAAAAACACAGAAAAAGAAAACAAATAATGCAACCAGGAAGAAAATAAATCAAGATAAGAAATATTGCATGAAATAAAAATTCATGGATCTCCTTTATCTACTATAGCTCAGTTTTCTTCAACTCCCGTTTGCCCAGGCCTATATGATCAATCTTTAAATGCTTTTATGGACTACATGACTATGAAGCCAAATATATTCCTTTTTTTAGCTTTTAATTGTCATGCACAACAAGGGGAACGCAACCCTACTATTCTTTTTTCCTCACCATTTGTTTAAACAATCTGTAAATATTTGTATAACCATACGCAATAGAGTTCATCAAATAGGAAGATTACAATAAGATATTATGATAGTGTTGAAATGGATTTATTCTATTGTTTTTGCCAATACAAATTTGTATTGAAGTCTAATCAATTATAATACCGTATGGTATCAAATGGGTTTGGAAGAGATCGAAAACATAGATATCAGATATGACAGTTCCTAGTAAAGCACTCTAGATAGTTACATATGTATGCTAGCTGCTTTGATCAAAGAAATTCTCGCACAGTGGCGTGTAAGCTCAAACGATAGTTATTCTGTTTGCATACAAAAAGGCACGAGAAAGAGACAGACAGACAGTCGGGAAAACTCACCGGACATGGAGCTCGTCACTCGTCAGTGATGGAAGTCAAAGAATATGATTTCACTGTTCAATGGGACCAAGAGAAAAATCTTGAAGGCAGAAACAAAAGCATGGTACAATTAGAGATATGCGAGGCAACTAGGAGAGAGATTACCAGGAGAAGAGAATATCAAAGAGAGAGAGAGAGAGAGAGAGAGAGAGAGAGAGACGAAAATAGAACATACCTTGGTCGATTGGTGAGAAAAGACGGTAGGGCTGCAAAGTGCAAACGCATATAATCGAATCGGATATAGACCGATCCAAATTCGATTCACTTAATCAGATCTTTCAATTGAACGGTTGGACCGTCCAACCCGCCACCGGCAAAAACCAAAGGGTAAATTGCATATTAATTTGGGGTTATCTCACACTCTCACTAATTTTATTTGAAACTAGCGGGTGAAAATTGGAATTTTGGTGCCTTATCCAAAAAAAAAGAAAAAAGAAAATTAGAATGTTCGTTAATTTTATTAATTACTAGCAGAATCATTTAAGGTTAGAAACATGGGTATTTTATGCATTTTAGGTTTGACCAGTTTGTCATGTAAAAATAAATAAATAAAATTATTTTCTTTATCAAAAATGCAAAAGATTTTCATATAAATTACGTCAAAATCTATAATTTTTAAGTAGTTAATTAATCTAAGAGTATGAACTAATAAATGTATGTTTGTTTGGTAAATGATATTTTGATTTCCTCTCTAAGGTTTTAAAACCGTCTTGATTCGGACGGTTGGACTTGAACCATTCAGCCTGAAAACCAGCTGAGGTAGAGGTTCTATTTCATCTTTGAACTGTTATTTTTCCAAAAACCTTTAAATTAGTATGCATTTAGTTTTGTGGATGTTTATTTGCACTTTTTTACTTTAAACGTTTATTTATATTTTTTCATTTTAAATGTTTCTTGTTTTTGTTGTTTGGTTGAAATTCATTTTAAATGTTTTTTACTTTCTACCTCAGATTATACCCATTAAACTACGCCACATTAGCATTTGGTTTCAATAAACATTGGGGCGTTGAGGGAAACAAGAATTTAACGTTTTCCCCAAATGCCCTGTGCACAAAAATCAAAGTGTTTCACTTCTCTACTATTTATTTGATAAACGGTGAAGACAAAAAATTATTTCATTTTGCTTCATCTACAATAAATGTCAACACCTAAGTGGCGCTGATGTGGTAGCGTTTTTTCAGTAAATGCCAAAGGAACCAAACATCACTGATGTAACCGTTTTTGGTCACGTACCATTTTTTGGGATGTGTAAAATTTTTTTGGCTAAGTACCTCGTGTTTGACCTGGTGGTGACGTGCCTTGGTGATGAGCTACTTGGTGGCGAACTTCCTGGTGGCGAACTGCCTAG